TTATATATTTAGAAAGGATCCTCGGTATGAGTTTACCGAGGGAAAAGGAAGCGACTTCTAAAATGTTAAGTGGGTGCACCGAGGTAAAGAGTCCACGGATCGCGTGCCGCGCCTACGTCGCTTGTTCTTGTCCCTGGTCTCTGCCCTCTTTACTCAAATTATAGTACTCGTTTAGGCCAAACAGAAGGTCGTCTTACGGGCTGGATTTTGAAGTAGGTCTCGTGGAGTTCCGGAACGGGCTTCAATCCTGTTACCGCGTCCAGGAGCTTCTGGTCCGCTTTGTAGAAGTGCGGAAACGACAGGTAAACCGGAGCACCTGAGCACATAGGTTTAGTCATCGGTTGATGGTTATCAGCGAGATTGGATTTCCCTAATCTGAGCGGCGAAACTTTTCCCGACTGTTTTCCTAATTAACAGTTTTACTGACTTTTCCAATTAGGAATATGATTCTATAAGAAACTTACTGTATTGGCAAGGACTTATGTTCTGTAACCCTTTCGGGGGACAGCTCCCTGGGTCGTCCGGACAAAAACATTCGTTATCAGGGGTTGTTTTACTAGGTGGATCGAACACGGTGTCCGTTGGGGTGTACAGATCAGCTTTTATCCCGGTTTTCGAGACAGGACCTCGATATTGCATCGGCAGGACCCTGCAAAGGTCCTTGTCCCAAATGTGGACGACGTCCGCTCCAGTTTGCTCCCTTGGGGGAAAAAACGAACCTAGACAAGAACATTAAATAATTTAGGATTGCCTCGAGATCCTGCTGTTTTATTTTTTAATAAAGAAAATATAAACGATCATTTTAAAGGGGCAATTTAACGATATTAATCGACATTCTCCGAGCTTAGGATTTTTTTCTCAGCGTAGGTTCGGAACCTTGATGAGGGAACGTTCAGGCTGTTTTTCGATTCCTTAAAAATATATATGCGATACAATTTTTTATATTTAAACGGCACGAAGTTAGGAGAGAACTAGTTAATCAGGAGAAATGTTGTTTTAGCCTTTCTATCATCTTGAAACGATCTTACCTTCCGATGCTCGAATGGAGTTGCATGGAGCGTCATCCCAGTATGGCAGGCGATCTAAACCATTTAATCTGTTAATCAGCCCGAATTCCTTCATATCAGTGTGCCCGGTAAAAATGGTTGACACTTCGTTCAGGGTGCCGTTCCTCTGGAATATCAATATCTATTGGTCATCGGCTCGACTTTACCTAGATAGAGATCAGGGAAGAAGACTCACTCCAAGGAGAAGACCCATCTGGCTCATCGGTCTCCTGGTTTTCGGGAAGAACCGATGGGCAAGGCTCACCAGAGGGTCGTCGTATCCAAAAACCAACTCTTGGGCAGTCACTGGAACGAATGGTTTCATATCCATCCCACTGAGGAACATCGACAACCCCAATGTGATCAATCGGGGCAGGCTTTTACTTTGCGTCGACAGTGTCTGGAAGAAAAAAATTACCATTTTATTATTTAAACCTGGCTTCTTATCAGAAGCCGCCTTAAAACTGTCCTCACATTCTAAAGAAAATACTTCTCTGGTTCAGTGATATTTTTTATTTTTTTTTTCGACGTAGAGATTGAATTCTCGCACCAGTGTATTTGGCTCGAAACTCTGTCGGGTTTCTATACGGCATGGTATGCACTAAATTTTTCTTAACCGTGTTTGTTAACATTAAGCACAGACAGGGATCATTAGGTGCACATCCCGGGTGCTGGAATTAATCTTCCAGGACATTATCGCATTAATGATGGACCTCGGAAATGATCGAGGTGGTACTTACCAGAAGTGGAATGTTGGGAACCAGCACACGAGTGTCGCCGTCTTTTGACAATTCCGGGACGAAATTGAGAATCTTCTTGTGTTGGTAACTGACAGTGCCGTTATTGTGGAAGACTATGTTGACTTTCTCCATGTCTTCCCTGCAATGGAGAGGTTAGGTTAGATGGTTAACGAGTGGTTATCGGCCACGGTGGTGTAGAGATACGCTGCCACCTAATGTACTTGTCGGGTTCACGTGCCACGGCAAAGGCTATCATTAAGACAAGAGCTACTTAAGAATGGGAAGAAAAGCCGGAAAAGTGGGCAATGATAAGTGAGGAGAATGATAACGTGAGGTGCTATGGCCATTTCATTCCAGAAATCGGATAAGTGCACTTATCAAGGGGAGGCGACAAGAGTGCAGCCTATAGGCCTCCAAGTGCATATGATTATGCACCATGCACTTTTAGTCGCTAGGTTAGGTTCGCAACGAACCAATGCATCTTCTCTATTCTTGATGACCTCTTCGACATCTTATTTCTCTCATGAAGATTTAGAATGATCTGCGCACGCTATATCGTCACGCGATATTACCGATGACCCGGAAATATATTTTTCTTTCAGGATTAATAAAACGTTGGAGGAATATAAAGGGCGCCATATTGGATCGTATGTCTCCCGTGCAGAAAAAAAAGAAAAGTGCTTATTCCAGTCAAATAATTATTCTTTTAAGGAATAAAATATTTCTTTGGTTCGATGATATTTTTTTTTCTTCTCAGGGAAAAAGTCGAATTCCACGCGGATCGCAGGTCGACGCGAATTTCTCGGCAGATTTCTCATCCACGTGAAGTCTCTCTTCATGTAGGCCATGCAGGGGCGACGGGTATTGCGCGAAGGCTTTAATGCTCGGTGTTTTCACGTTTGACATTTTACGCCGCAAAATGGTATTTGAATCGACTGCCTCGAGTCGTTTAATACCCCGAGTGCTGTCTTCGGTGTTTTCAATGATTTCACGCAACGCTTCGTGAGGATTCGATTGCGCATCCTCGGCGTAGCGGATGAAACTCGAGGACGCCATGTCGTATTCGGCTCGAATTACTCGTTAATTGAACTCTCCCATGATGTCTTCGTAATATTAACGTCGAAGAGTCTCTAAAGAATTCCATTTCCCGTGATAAAAGTGCCAATCGCTCCCTCTGCGTCTCTGAATTTCTGGCTTGTACGCGAGTTCCAGGTTTTCCAAGATGGCCGCCTCTCTTGCATACGCGGTAATCGGGCGATAAAGTTTCCACGGCGATCACTTTTGAAGGCCCATAAAGCGGAACTCGTAAAACAGAGAGAAATACCTTCTACCCTTTGACGAATCCTTTCACCAGCTTCTGTAACTATGACACCATTCCCTACAATCGAAATATCGAAGCTCCACGTCCGACTTCGTTAGATCGACCTTGTCGACTTCTTGCGCGTCGCCAGAAAAACTCGATAGTGCAATCGACTTTACCGGCCCATTAAATCTCACAATCGTCGTTCCTTTCCCATATTATCACATATCCCATTCACGCGTGCAATTTTTAATAAATCTCGACAGGACAGGCATAAAAAAATTGAGACAAAATGCGCGTCTCTGTTAGCCTATATCTATATAATAAATTTATACCTGTGATTATCAAGCGGTTACATTTATAGAAATATATTCTAAGAGGTGTCGTAAGTTCTTAAGTTCCATGATATTACTTCGAAATGTTTTAACCAGAAGGACGCCATTTGCTTATCAGTTTTAGGTCGTGACACCATTTCGTGGATTCGTTAGCGAGTCGGGTCGACCTTGCCGATTTCTCGTGTGCTGATAGAAAAACCAAACAGCAACATCCAGGCCGCGAGAAGCAATTAAGGCGGCTACTTTCTTCTCCGGTAATATCCTATCCCTTTTTCTTCTCGCTTGAGTTTTTCGCACGCGCAAAAATGGCGGCGGTCGTTGCCTCTCGAGACCTCAACAGGCGATCGATCTCCATGACGTCTTGGATCCGTTACGCAATCCAGGCCGGGATTTTCAATGCTCTGATACACCGGAGAATTTCTGGAAAGCGGTTTACCGCCGAGAAGAAGAAACCATTGGCCGTGACACGGGAGGAACAATAACGAGAGGCGGCCTAGCGCCGCCATTTTGTCTTTTTCCAAGCGACGCCTCGATATCGTTTTAGAAACTTCAATTGCATTCCCGAGATACGGCGTGTCTATTTACATGTACTACCCTCATTTCAAGTATATGTTAACCTAATTACATACTTTTTGCGGCAAATGGGAACTTTCGTTCTCTCTTTTCAAATAAACGGCGCCGATCCCGGAAACGCGCGTCTTTGGTGACTTTCACCTACGCCGATGGGTAGAGAAGAGTTAATATTAATAACAACGCAATGTCGTCGGCCTTGGAGATTTTAATATTATTTAAAAAAGAAAAGAAAAAGGCGAGACAAGGCTTCGTTTCTCTTTTTCGACGTGAAATTGTTGCGGACGCTCCGCTTGATTTAAAGCCCCGAGTTCAAACGATTTCCCGCGTGACTCGTAGCTCGCGACTTTGTTACGTAATCTTCCGATTGAAAAATCGATCCACCAGCACAATTGTGCAATAATTCGTATTCTTCGAGGTCGGTGTCCTGACAGCCTTATACAGGTCGCCAAAAGTGCGGCACACTTCGGTTTATTAAATTATTTGCGCGCATTACGTAATGGACACCCATTATGTCGGCGTATTTTAGGATGCGTTACCCCATTATTTACTAAATAAGCAATAAAGCTTGCGACATTACCACGAGGCGAGAGTAAACCCTCGGTACATCACTTATCTCCTGGGTCACGATCTCCCGAAATCCTGAAAATTCTGCGCCGAGATTCAAGTCTGACAATTATGTTGAAAACTTCGTAAGTTACTACGAAGTATACTTTAATTAATTGTCATCATTCCGAAGAATTTTTTCATACAGTTTATTCGACTTCAGTTGCGCGAAAGAATTGTTCTCTGAATTAACCAGATATTTGTTTTTTCTTAGGGTATGACTTGTAACCAGTGACGTCACTGGTGAAAAGTTTAGTTCATAGTCGAATTTTTTAGTCGATACCGGGCACCGTAATCGAAAATTAAAATAATTAGGAATTATTTCCCGACCGTTGAGGTGACTCCTTCGACACGGCTCTCGGGACTATGTGAGATGTAACAATGCATCTCATTATGCAATTGCAAATGCGTAATACGACCCACGTTCGAGATGTCAGGCCCCGTAATACCTTCCAAGTACCTGCATCGGCGAATGTATAAACTGGGAGTAAACTTCCGTAGAAAGCGAGTATTTACATACGGAGAGTGATACATAGGTTAGGTTGCGATATGGAGTCAGTCCGAGGATCGCGCGATATCACTCGTCATTGTTTATGATAGGAAATTATCACGTCTCTGGAATGAAGTAGAGTTAAAAGTTTCCGCCATTTTGCTGCCATGTAGGCATGCACCGGAGTAAAACGTGTCCCGGATAATTTGCATTATTATATAACAACGTGGTCCCCGGTCTAGAAATTTCTCCAGAATCACTTCTCAACTCGAACAGTTAGCAACACGTGGGTCTGTCCGGTTTAAAGTCGGCGTGTAAGTTAAATTAATGTCCAATAACGAGACGTTATTATCCCCAAGCTGGTTAATATTCATTGGTTTGGTCTATATCGGCATTTCAGGTTAAATAAGGGATGCTTCCGTGAACCAAGATGGCCGCCCAACGACTTCTTTCTCCGCTTAGGCAGCGGATATCAAAAGCAGCCGGTACTTAGAAAGTAGATACCAGGTGAAATGATTACCGGGGAAATTATGTAATGTCAGGCGGTGATCGAATTCCGCGTTACCGGGATTACGTTGCGCCGAGATACACGCGGAATTACAGCCTCTGGCGGGAAAATCCGATATCGAGGCAAGGGACACGAAAGCATGAAAAGAGAGCGAGGGGTGCGATGGGAGTTTTTATTTTCGCATTTTATTTTCTTGACTCGCTTTGCACCTTCGGCCTTCCGACTAGTTTCCTCGCCGAGGACGAAAGGAGATATAAAAAAAAGGGAGACGTAACGTCCTACTTCCGCGTATGACGTCACTGGACCCACTTTCTTCAGACTCCCGGCGGTTATGTCAATACCGGCATTCGCTTCGATTATGCCCGATGTCATAACACCTATACAGACGCAGAGGGCCCACGAAGATGGAAGTCTGTCTTCGAAATAACTTTCTCTCCCAATTGCACCTGCACTCTTCACCGGGCCGAAGAAAGGCGGTTTCTGTATTCCAGGCTCAAGGTGACACGATAAGGGTCATTCTATAAATATAGAAAAAAATTTTTCCCCTAAACCGAGTGCACGGAATAATTGGATAACTTTAACGCGTGATTACGGATGTCAGTCAGTGGGTATTTCTAAATCGTTTGCAAATCTATTTTGTAATCCTCGAAACCGGGAATAGCTTCGACTGGTCTTAACGGTCCGATCTCTCCGCGAGATATTCCCCCTAGGAGAAGACACTCGTCATCTCGTGGCGATTCGGTGCTCTCGAGGACCCGAGGTGCAAAAAACTCCGCGGCCGTGCGCGTAATAACGGCGGCCATTGCGAAATCCATCGGAACGCAACCCGCGGCATTGCGTGTGCGGTGGACGAGGCGCTCGCCAGAAATCCCGCCAGAGGAAGGATAGAAAGTATACGGAACGAAGGTAATTCCTGATCGAGGCACGAGCAAGCAACCCGCTTAACTTGACATTAGATAATCGAGCGCGGGATTACCGGCGCGCCGCCACGCGTTGCGGTGGCGTTTCGCGGTTCGTTTAAACGCGGCTTCGAAACCGACTTTTCACGGTCCAAGACGCCTAACCGTCGCCGTTCGACGTCATGGTTTCATTATCCAATAACTACTAATCGATTTCTACAATATTAACCGCGGCGTGCAATAATATATCGCAGAAATCCTACTTTGAACTTTCGAAATGTCCGGCCAAGTCGTCGCCGAGGCGCCGCCATCTTGCTGCTTCGATATCTCGAGGTCGGCGCGCGCAATCGATAGTCGCGAGATCTAGTGGCGGTCACGTGTGGTGCTTTTAAATTCTTTCTTTCAAGGGAATCTCACATTAAATTAAGTTGAATGTTATTGAAGAAATTAAATTCTCGTAAATTCCTGTAAATTCCTGTAAATTCCCAATTACTCGGGTAATGTCACGTGACCCTCGCGGGGATCACGTGACCGCCCAATCTAGCGCCGCCATGTTTGAATCGAAAAGTGCCGCGGTATAACGAAATTCCACAAAGAAATGTCGCTTTTCTTATCTGCTGGCACAAATGGGGAAAAAATCGTGCCGCTGAGAGGGAATTGGAGTGGCATTTAAATTTCTTTGGGCAACTATTTCGGTGGGTAAGAAATGGTCCCCTGGTACAGGTGAGCGCGCTAAGTTTCGGCAATGCCCTTCTTTATGCGGTAACCTCGATCGCTTTGAGAACGGTTATTGCGATTCGTAATGACTCCCAGTCTTTTACGCTCGCTCGTTTGCAGGTTACCACAGTGGGAACTAATAACGCGCCGGCAATTTCTGCGTGTATGTGAGAACATAAGCAATATGCGTAAGTACTAGGAGGTACGTATCGCCGCCATTTTGCATTGTTTGCTTTAAATCACGCGGTCGACGTCGTCGCACTTACGTCTCCGGCAATTATTGTCAAGCACTTTCTCGAAGGAACGAGTGCGATTGGACGTCGAACCCTTGACGTCGTTGCGTTATGCATATATGGAGAGAGATTGCCTGTTAATGGGACATTATGCGCTAATTTATGTCGCGGGGGGTGGATTCTTCAAGGAAGCTCTCGAGGTCGTAAAGTATTCCCCTATTTTTATATTCCCCATTATCCGCGAAAACTAATTGCTCTAAATACATCCTATTGGAAAACGTCGACTTTGCAAAATTTTATCTATACGGCTAGACGCACAAGAACAATGAAATCAATCTTGAAAATAAGAAAGAAATATTTGCCGAGCCCTGTAATTAAATTTTGTCGGGAAATTTTTAGATATAAATTTAAGTATCTCTTATCGCTCCACCTTACGAGTTTCTTCATGCAGGTTTCTTCTCTTATGATTTATAGTTATCCAGGGTGTCATTATCGCGACCGACTAGATGACTGGATTGTTAAAAGGGAAAAACGAAAGGCAAGTTTAAGCATGCGAGTTTGTCCCCATCTTGTCCGACGAGGAGAAAAAGTCCCCTCGAGGGCTCTGCGAGCGACGAATAACTCAAACCTTCTTTTCTTTTTTTAACTCCTGAATTCCTTTACATAACGATTAATAAACAAGCGGCCGGGCTCCTATTGCGCAATCTCGCCGGCTATTTTGCCCACTTCGCCGTTATGGCATTCTATTATTTCGTAATTCCTTAAGCGCGATATATCGCCATCTTGAGGACGCGCAGTAAAAGAACCCTCGGTGCACCGATTCCAAAAGGCGTGCAATTCATGCTTCGCAAATTGCCCCATTACAATGGACTTCAGGAGTCCAAAATCGATGCCGAAACTTGGTCGTTACTTTGCCAGTTTTCTTACTCCGTAACGTTATGCCCGGAAAATGTCGAAATATTCCCTCGCGAGATTACGGTTTGGCGGGAATTTACGCCCCGGGAATTCCTCCGGGGAATTTTTCCCCGGAATTCGTGCGACTCGGGTTTAAGACTAATTGACTAATCCGAGGGAACCGAGTTTTGTAACCGAATGCTGAGACATATCGTCGAGTCACACCAATGATCTCGACTGATGTAAACGCGAAGGCCGAGGCGCATCCTTGAAAAGGGGTGACGAAATTTCTCATTTTCTAGTTTCCCTGGCGAGACTCTTGGAAGACTCATCGACCGAAATGAACGCCTTCCGAGGTATCGAATTTTTTATGTCGCTTTCAAAATCCGGACTTTGTCTTCCTACTTTGCCAGCGACCTCCTCGCTGCATCTCGGATGCGTCCCGCGCCAAGATCATCGCGTCACAAATGAGTTCTTTTTTTCTTCCTTTTTTTTTCTCAAGATTTTATAATCGAGTATTAATTGAGTCTCGACGAGTTTTTTTCTACTGCCTGCGAGATCTGATACAGGATCTACACCGGATGAGCATTTCCAGGCAATGATAGGCAACCGTGATTAGTATCCCCAGGAAACAAATTTCTTATTTTCTAGTTTCCCTGGCGAGACTCTTGGAAAATTCATCGACCGAAATGAACGCCTTCCGAGGTATCGAATTTTTTATGTCGCTTTCGAAATCCGGACTTTGTCTTCCTACTTTGCCTGCGACCTCCTCGCTGCATCTCGGATGCGTCCCGCGCCAAGATCATCGCGTCACGAGTGAGTCCTTTTTTCCTTCCTTTTTTTTTCTCAAGATTTTATAATCGAGTATTAATTGAGTGTCGACCAGTTTCTTTCTACCGCCTGCGAGATCTGATACACGATCTACACCGGATGAGCATTTTCAGGCAATGATAGGCAACCGTGATTAGTATCCCCAGGAAACAAATTTCTCATTTTCTAGTTTCCCTGGCGAGACTCTTGGAAAATTCATCGACCGAAATGAACGCCTTCCGAGGAATCGAATTTTATATGTCGCTTTCGAAATCCGGACTTTGTCTTCCTACTTTGCCAGCGACCTCCTCGCTGCATCTCGGATGCGTCCCGCGCCAAGATCATCGCGTCATGAGTGAGTTCTTTTTTTCTTTCTTTTTTTTCTCATGATTTTATAATTGAGTATTAATTGAGTCTCGGCGAGTTTTTTTCTACCGCCTGCGAGATCTGATACACGATCTACACCGGATGAGCATTTTCAGGCAATGATAGCCACCCGTGATTAGTATCCCCAGGAAACAAACTATCTGGACATTTGTTTACGTCACGGCTCGAGATTAATGAATGCGTTTTTGGTCGTCCCACTTGTCTTCGGATTTCTATTTGCTTTCAGGATTTTAACACACTGCGGACGTTCTCGGGCATTCATCTCGCTCTTGGGAGCAAAGGAGTCGGAAAGATCTTGGACCTGACCCCGATTTTCTATCTGCCAGTCTCGGTGTTCTCTCGCGATGTATACAGTACCGAGGAGTATATTGACCTACACGGTGCCATGGATCTTAGGAGGATATACGTACCAAAAAATGAAAATATGTATCTATTTATAATCAGAGGATAAGATTTTCTCTCCGCCAGCCCGATGTGCACTCCTCGCAATGCAGACATTTTTATCAGGAATGATCTATTGGTATTTTGAACCACGTGATAAGAGATCAATGTACTTAATAATGTCTTCTAGGTGTCCCGGGAATGCGGCTACTGGAAATGGCGACGCAACTCGTGGCAATTAGAAAAGAACCCGCTGACCATTTCCACGGCTGTTCCCTTTAGCAGCACCCGATAATTGAAATTCTTCTGCGGAGATGTTTCCGCACACGGGGATCGCTTCCTGTGACAGAGTACCGTAAAGTATACCGTAGTTTGTCATCGTGATTTTCTTGGATCGATTCGCCCGGTTTCCGTGATAACTTATCATTGATTCATATCGTTGCGTCCCACCATATCGTTGATTCAGGTGAACGTTTTTTTATTTCTCTGCAATTTGTTTCTACTCACCCAGGAGAAATGGATACATCATTAAGATGGACTTGGCAAGGTTTTGAAAATATTTTAGCGCCACGATATGCATAAGAATTGCCCTGTCACGGGTAATGCTCACCTGTGCGAAGAACAATTACCGGGGCTTAGGGGTTATCTCTTAAGGAAAAAGAAAAAATCCCACGCAAGGGAGAAATCTTCAACTGGCATATTTCTTATTGAACTTCTGAAAATATTTTGGCGCCATGATATGCATAAGAATTGCCCATCTATGTTGTACCTTGTCACGGGAAATACTCACCTGTGCGGGGAACAATTACCGGGGGTCACTCGTTGAGCAACGAAAAACCCCACTCGAGGAGCCAAAGTAACGCACTTCACCTGTCCACAATGGAGGAACGTCATACCGTCACTTATCCCGTAATTCTTGTACCCCATTGAAGCGAGTATTATGCGCCATTGCAGACGTAAGTGGCGTAAAAGAACATTACTCGAGAGTGCGCCTTTCATTATCTCATACCAACTCCGCGAAGCCGCTCGCTGGGAGACTTCTCTCCTCTCTTTGGCTTCCTGTTTGTTTTGCCTTTATTTATCACGCCACGCGGGATGCCTGATTATGTAGAAATCGACCTGGTTACAGAGAGTAGGGTGCCAGGAAGATGCGGAACAAGTCGAGCTCTTATTAACGCACAATGGAGTGTGTATGTACGATCTGCAGCGAGGAGTGCCGCAAGTCCCGTTTCAACGAGGAAAAGACTATTCGGTTTAAATATACCGATATTTCCAATATTTACTGGTAAAATTGTTTAATCTTCCGGAAATGCCGTTTATTACGAGGGAAAATTCCCACGGACATATTTTACGAGCGGTTATTAACGCATAATGGAGTTTGTACACTTGCAACGAGGAGTGCAAATCTGGATCGCAAGTCGCGTTTCAAACGAGGAAGAGACTATTCGGTTTAAATATGCCGATATTTCCAATATTTACTAGTAAAATTGTTTAATCTTCCAAAAATGCCATTTCTTTCGAGGGAAAATTCCCACGGACATGTTTTACGAGCGGTTATTAATGCATAATGGAATTTGTACACTTGCAGCGAGGAGTGCAAATCTGGATCGCAAGTCCCGTTTCAAACGAGGAAGAGACTATTCGGTTTAAACATGCCGATATTTCCAATATTTACTGGTAAAATTGTATAATCTTCCAAAAATGCCGTTTCTTCAAAGGGGAAATTCCCACGGACATGTTTTACGAGCGGTTATTAATGCATAATGGAATTTGTACACTTGCAGCGAGGAGTGCAAATCTGGGTCGCAAGTCCCGTTTCAAACGAGGAAGAGACTATTCGGTTTAAACATGCCGATATTTCCAATATTTACTGGTAAAATTGTTTAATCTTCCGGAAATGCCGTTTATTTCGAGGGAAAATTCCCACGGACATGTTTTACGAGCGGTTATTAACGCATAATGGAATTTGTACACCTGCAGCGAAGAGTGCAAATCTGGATCGCATGTCTCGTTTCAAGCAAGGAAGAGACTATTATTTTAATAGGAACTAGTAGAGATTTGTAGAATTTATCAAACTATCGAATGTATATCAGGAGCGCGACGTTTACAGATTGTTATGAATTATAATGAATTGTTAGAAATTCCGACTCACCTATATACAAAGGGTCCGACCTCTTGCAACTTCGGTTTCTCGTTATAGTTGAGGAAGTTATCGGCATTGGTTACGTTGAAGATGTAGACTTTGGTTAATCGAACTACCCCGGGCTTCTGCCAGTATTGGAAGGACAGCGAGCCATTCCATAACCTTAATTGCTGAAGGAAGGGAACCGGATTATTTTTGCAATCCAAGATGGATGCACCTTGAATTTTCCTAAACTGTTAAAAGTGAAGATACAAGATGGACCGGATTATTTTAGCAATCCAAGATGGATGCACTTTGAATTTTCCTAAACTGTTAAAAGTGAAGATACAAGATGGACCGGATTATTTTTTCAATCCAAGATGGATGCACCTTGAATTTTCCTACACTGTTAAAAGTGAAGATACAAGATGGACCGAATTATTTTTGCAATCCAAGATGGATGTACCTTGAATTTTCCTAAACTGTTAAAAGTGAAGATACAAGATGGACCGGATTATTTTTGCAATCCAAGATGGATGCACCTTGAATTTTCCTAAACTGTTAAAAGTGAAGATACAAGATGGACCGGATTATTTTTGCAATCCAAGATGGATGTACCTTGAATTTTCCTAAACTGTTAAAAGTGAAGATACAAGATGTGGTTCCTTAGATCGGTACTTAGTCGATGTACTTACCCTTAAAATAATATAATCCACCCACGGTATGCAGCTTAGGACGATACCGATGGAAAGCGCCAATAGTCCAAAAAGAATCACCGCGATCCTACCTAAAAATGAAAAGAAAATAATTACTAGAAAGTACCTGGACGTGCTTAAACAATCGTAGAATGACCTGGCTTGAAACTGACATACATTCCCCGAGTAATTTGATTCTTTTTTTTTTTTCCAATCCGAAGCGAGGCTTCGACGTCGCTCGCATGAATTATGTCACCAAAGGTCGCAGCCTAATGATACTCGTTGTCATGTAGGACGTAATGATGCGTACTTGTAAAATAAAAAAGCCCGAGGATCAAGGAGGTTGAACAAATAAGAAGCGCAATGTTTCTAGGAAGATCTCTCTATGTAATAATTTTCCCTCCACGAATGTGGTTAAATCACGCTGTGAATCTTTTACGAGCAGCGCAATTTGTCTAGGGCCTCATTACGGCCAAAGTCGGTCGTAATTAAGATTAATCGTTTCCTTGTTTCTGAAATCATAAGACAATAGTCTTCGTCTCTTGATTACCCCCAAAAAAGTGAGGAAACCTCGAAAAGTGCATCACAAGTAATACCGTGATTTTCTAGCATTCTATTAATCTTCTTCAGACGTTTCCACACCTCATAAAGTTTCACAGAGAAACGAGGAAAAAAATTGCAAATTATTAAATCCATAGATGCACGTAAAGAAAGTATATTTATCTTTAGCGTTAGACAATGTAACTTCATTTTTGCCGACGTCAAATCAATTAATAAGGGAGTTTGTAAATTTATATCGGCATTTTTAGAGGTGCATTGAATAACGCTGGGTAAGGGTAATTAATTTGCAATTCTTAGCGTGTTTTACAACTGTCTCTGGGACTCTCTAACTGATTTAAAAATTCGTTTTCAGGGTTTCCCAGGTGGAGTCGGACGTGGAAGTAAATGCAAATTAATTCGGCGATTATATTGGAATTTTGTTGATCGGCACGTGTCGACTTCCCACGCCTTTTTCTTCCCCCCCTTCCTATTTAGATAAATCTCGGGAAAAATGTTAATGCAATTCGACGAACTGGCAATTAGGTCAAGGAACTCGATTTTCGAGGTGTGCGATCTCTATTCAACTTTCTGCACCAGAGATTACTCCTCCTCCGATAAGATTTCTCTCTTTAATTTAGGTCGGCCATTAACGGATGTCAGAACCGATTTCCGGTCTTCCTCGAAGGTCAGTACGACCTTGAAAAATTCTTGCGAGGTTTCGTCTCTCACGTCGGTTAATGAGACATTTTTATGCATGCTTAGCCGATTAGTTTAGGAAAAGTCATCGAGACTTGTAAATCACCGTCATTGATTTGTCATCGGATTTAAACAGTACACAAAAAAAAAAGATTAGTTGACTGAAACCTATATATAATGTTGACAAGTATGTCGTTGCCTGAATTAAATTTAATTCCAGGAAAGAATTGCTGCGTTTAAAAGAAACATATTGATTTAAACTAACTGCTGTGGATGGACAATAATTTTGTTGACTCCGGAATTTTCTTTACAAAATTCATGAAAAAGTTTCTCCCGGCAGGCGGATTGCAATTTTCTCGAAAAGCTTTTCTTAAGTCGCTGATTCCGCGGATTTGTGAAAAAGTTTCTTATAATTGTTGATCGTTAGGCAATCAGAGATTCACGGATGCAATACATGGAAGTAGGATATCATTTGCTGGGAGGCTTCCGAGATAAAAATAAGCGTTGTCAAGGGTCGAGGGTATTTTTATAACAATTCGACTTCATTATAGAAAATAATAGTGATCTGCGAACTCGGACTATAAGGAAAAATCTGCGATCTTTGAGATTCTGATATACGGAAATCCTGGATACTACGCAAGGTCGGCCTGGGAATAAATTAATACCAATTATTCCTCTTTTTCTTCCTCTTATGCTCGATCTGGAGGTCATTGTACTTTATTGAAAGAGTTCGGGACGATCGTGGCCTCGAGTGATGACAAATTGCCAATTTGTCATCTTAATATAAAATCACGAGTGGTCCAGGACAAAGGTGAAGGTCCCCTGAAATGATCTTTCAAATCGCACACAGGTGTCATCAATTCTTCCGAAACCTGTTTCTTTTTTTTTTTTTTAATTTAATAATTTGCGCAATTAGCATAAACTTAATGTCAGCCCACCTTCCAAGGTCTAGGATAATTATTAATCTCAGTCTCGGATTTCTTAACCGCCTTCGCAGAGAATATTAATCAGTGTTAAATTTTAAAAAGTACCCTAACAAAAAAGAAACCCATTCGAACCAAAGAAATGTGTTAATTCGAAGAATAATTATGAATCCATGTTTATGAAATGCAGCCTCATTAATTGGCGTTAATATTTTGTATATATGATTCTGCTATTTCCGGGGCATTTTTTTTTTCTTCTCAGTCACTTTTGCGAAATGCATTTTTATCCTGCTTAATGCGATCGATTTTTATCGTGCATCGATTTAGTTCGACGAGGGCGAGATGGACGTTGAAAATCCTCGATGGAAATTATTACAGACAATTGATACCATTACGATGTATTAGCTGTTTATGAAATGCAGCCTCATTAATTGGCGTTAATATTTTGTATATATGATTCTGCTATTTCCGGGGCATTTTTTTTTTCTTCTGTCACTTTTGCGAAATGCATTTTTATCCTGCTTAATGCGATCGATTTTTATCGTGCATCGATTTACTTCGACGAGGGCGAGATGGACGTTGAAAATCCTCGATGGAAATTATTACAGACAATTGATACCATTACGATGTATTAGCTGTTCGAGGCTTGTGAAAGCGGAGAAACTTGTTCTAAGTGCAGAACTGCAGGTGCAGTAAGAGAGGACGTTGAATCTGGATTCTGAAGCGTCCACGTTACTGCAACTGCTAATACTTGACGGATTGCATAAAACGCAATTTTCTCTCCTTTACCGGGGGCCATTGGCACATAATTTCGCATCAAACATTCAATTTTTATTCCATTACGTATTTATTATAACGGGGAATTTATTATTGAATATTATTGCTCAATATGGCGCTGTTATGCAGGATTTATTAAACGGTAAAATCATTATTTAATATTATTAGTTAATGTGCAGGATTTATAAATCGGTGAAATTATTATTCAATATGATTAGTTGACATGGTGTTTGTATGCAGGATTTATGAAATACTGAATTTAAATCGGGATTACCGTAGGTCAGTGATGTTTGCAATATGTGCATGTGCATGTGCATTGATTTGCCTGAGATCGCTAAAAACTAACGGGAATTTATAAGTAGGTGCAAAATCGAGAAGCATTATCATTCCCGTGTAGTATAATCTTTCTCTAGAAATTCCCGGAATTCTTGAGTACCGTATGAAAAAGTTACATAAACGATAACTGTTACTCCGCATATCGTACTAACCGAAGTCCGATTATCGTGGTATAACTGTGTCTAATGACTCGATGAATCATACTTAAGATTCCGTACACTTGGCAATCTTTCATGATATCCGATTGGACATAAATATTAATAATTTAACGGTGAGAGTGACGTCTTTGACACAAGATCAGCGGCTCTAGCGATGACAGTGTTCTCATCAAACTGATTAATTTAATAATGAATATTAACGTCGTTCTTGGTTTGCCGAATTTTGCATTTATATGGGATAAACATTTGCATTCGTATGAAAGTGCGTTTGTACTTGGTGCGAAACTCTGCCGAGTTACCCGATTAGATTCGGCGGCCAAGAAACTGCACTTAGCGTGATTAATTTAATTATGAATATTAACGTCGTTCTCGGTTTGCCGAATTTTGCATATATACGGCATAAACATCTGCACTCGTATGAAAGTGCGTTTGTACTTGGTGCGAAACTCTGCCGAGTTACCCGATTAGAGTCGGCGGCCAAGAAACTGCACTTAGCCTGATTAATTTAATTATGAATATTAATGTCGTTCTCGATTTGACGAATTTTGCATTAATATGGCATAAACATCTGCACTCGTATGAAAGTGCGTTTGTACTTGGTGCGAAACTCTGCCAAATTACCCGATTAGATTCGGCGGTCAAGAAACTGCACTTAGCCTGATTAATTTAATAATGAATATTAACGTCGTTCTTGGTTTGCCGAGTTTTGCATTTATACGGCATAAACATCTGCACTCGTATGAAAGTGCGTTTGTACTTGGTGCAAAACTCTGCCGAGTTACCCGATTAGAGTCGGCGGCCAAGAAACTGCACTTAGCCTGTATACATTACTTCGGATGTTAATTAAGACTCACCTGAATAAGTATAAATATTTTACTGAATGGGGAATTCCAAACGATAAATGTTATTTACATAGGCTCGTTCTAAACAAATTGCCAGTGGAACGATCTCAGCCATTACCAGTATCCTTTCATCAAACTAACGTCTCTATTTGCGTCTTCAATCTAATTACGGATATAAATATCAGTCTCGATTTCTCAAGCTGCACCGTTGCATACATGCAATTGCAGTTTGCACCGAGAGACCTCATTTAACCCCTGTATATTACTCTTTAGATATTAACAATGCATCTACCGAGCCGAAATAAATATTCCACCCCGAGTAAAAAATGTCATCTCCCCATGGAACATTTTCTTCATTCAAGGAAACATTTCTTTTGTTCATTGGAATTTTTTTTCAGGGGGGACACCAGTAATCATAAATTGTCTTTTGTTGCATTTCCGTACAAAATGTCCAGTCGAACTGGACCCGGAAAACGCGGAATTCCTGGCGGCCTTTAAATGGATGCGATTTCCTTGGGTAGCTTTTAAAACTTTTTTTACGTTTTAGCAGTTGTTTATTTGCATGTCGTAAATAAGTCGATACGCTCGTAGGTGTTCCAGACGGCCTCTTCGAGGTTTTTGTTCCGAAGGCAAGGTTGAGGCGCAATGAACTCGACGCCATTTTACGTCCTCGTCCTTTGGCGGTAATCAGACCTGAACCATCCTCTATCACTCGATGTGGACAGGAAATAAGAAAAATGAAGAGCACACAAGGCGAGTCACTTGTGTACTCGCCCTCGAGCGGTGCACGTGTGTACACACATTCACCTGTTCGCGAAAG